CCTTTGAGACGGAATCTGATATTTTAATGAGAATTGTTTGAGGTGGTATCTGTACTTGTAAGGACTTGACTCCATCATCCTTCTGTGCTCTATATTGCTGCTAAAGTCTACTCATTAAAGTAGGCCTTAATCTCACCAAATCGCTGATTAGATAAAATTCATTTTGAAACAATGGAAAAATATAGGTGCTCAATTTAAAGAGGAGGTAGAAGAAATGTCTCTCCTTTATATACGGAGAAGATCAAAATGACTAATTTATACTTGAATTGTACCGATCCTGTGGTAGAAATGAGATGGGTACCATCCTGTATAATTGACAAAATCAATCTTATTATGCTTAAAGTGGCAAATACAGTAGAGAATGTGTGACCTCTGCTGCTCTCTTGCATTTAATTTCTTATTTTGTAGAACTCATTCCTGTAATATGATATCCAAAATGCTGACACTATTCCAGGCTTGGTTATACTGGCTCTTTGGTAGTAAGTACAGTCATTTAGACCTTATCTGCCCAAAAGTGCATTAATAGTGTTGCAACCAAACGTTAAAGTCTGGGAAGGATGAGGTTTCAAATGGCTTTAAGACTTACATGGTCACCATCTGTGACAATAGATGGTAACATGGGCATCGTTTTAATAAAAAATGGACTGGAAGGAATTTAGTAATGTTGAAATAAATGTAAGAACATCAGAATACAACAGGACTGAACATAATCTTTCGGATCGTCAAATTCCTTTCCCTGCTCTTGGAGGCAATCAAGTATCATATAAAATTTAGTTTTCTTTATTACAATTAAACATATTTATGGTCTCATGCTGCAAGAACCAGTTTTCATTACAGACCATTAACTTTAACTAACTGTAATTATAAATGGACAAACCAGGAAATTTATTTCATACCTATAAAATATATTGATGCAAGGAAAGTGGATTACGCTGAGATTCTAGAAGTGTGCATCAGATGTGCATTACAGTATACATGTCCAGCAAACAATGCAAAAATCTATTTCTTTCTGCAATAGGTTCTAATCCAGAAGATGAGCTACTATCTAAGGAATGTATATACTCAATCCTCCATTTAAGCAATGATTTTCTTCTAAATGCATGCAAGGAAAGGGGAAGTGCTACTAGATGAAGCTAATTCTAAGTATTCTTCACTATTGTTTTGATAAATCATACTGAATGTATTGCTAGAATAGACATATAATCTGTTTCCATTATTTAAAAAATGAAAGAGAAAGTGTTTAATGAACTGCAGTTTTTGTCTGTGTATTGAGTCAGTTCACCACCACAGGTTGATTATTGCAGGTGGACCCAGTGACAAAGAACACAGGTGAGACTGAGGTACTCAGTGCTTTCTTTGCCTCAGTTTTAAGCACTGCAGTCAGTTGAACAGTGTGAGAGACTGCAGAAAATGATCACTGGCTCAAAACAACTTAAGTGAGGGTGGTGGGGTAGGGCAGGGCAAGTTCTGTGTAGGTGGGATGGTGCACTGCTTCACAGCCCTCCCCTGGAGGCTCTAGTCCAGCCCAGAAAGGCTAATAGCCACTGGCATACCGAAAACCCCACCTGAGGGGAGGGCCCCAAGAGACCAGAGCAGACAAAAGCAATTGTGCAAGTATACATGTGTAATGTCCCTATTGTCTTGGATTTTATACCAGCTGAGACCACACTGGAACCAAGACAGTAGCTACATCTTTCCCTTGTCTCTCTCCTTCTCCCTTTTTTTCCTCTTCTCAAAATCTGGGTAACTTAGAGTTTATTAAGTCAATGCTTTGTGAAATGGTTTATTTTGATTGAATGTTGCTTTAGAATTTGCCAAGTACCCTTATTTTTTATAGTTTGCCAGTAAAAAGTTTGTCTTTTAACCTCCTGAGTCACATTCTTCCTTGCACCTGCCTCAGGGAGTACTCAAGCCCCCTTTAAGAAACTTGCTGAGTGAGTTTGGGGCTTTGCAAATGGTGGGCGCCCATGAATTCCATTAGTCTTACATTTGCTTCTAGTGTGTTTTCAGAAAGCTTTTCTTGCTGCTCTTCACATTCTTTGCTACTTTTAACTCCAGCTGAACTTAAGCTTTCCTAACTCCATCTTTGCATGCATATGTATTGTCTCACTGCTTCTGTCAAAAGTGAGAATCAGAAGGATAAGCAGTACAGTCATGTTATTATGAGTTCAGCAGATGTGAGGACTTTAGGCTATTTATCTGAGGGTAATATAAGCATAATGTATCTAGTGTTATGTTGATGATGTTAACCATGATATAGGCGGTTCCTTATGTACAAAGAGGTGGAGTTCCTGCTCTGAATCCTGATCTCATGTAAAGGTATCTCAGTTTACCTTTACTGACTGCAGAAGTTTGAGAGATTGACCTCATTAAACTAAACTTAGTCTTAAATGCAGATCCTGTGAACTACAGAAATGGAGCACAGATAAAAAGCTATATGCTTTCTATTTTATATCCTGTATATATGTGTTGAATCTTGTAAGCTTGCTATATTTCACAATTCAGAGTATTTCTGTGACATCAGATTTGTTGGAAGTTTTAAAAGCAGTACAAAGTTTTTGTGTTCACGTTTTATCAATTAGTTCTTTTGCATTAGAGAAACTTTCATTTTTATCAATTAAGCTCTAAAATCCAACCATGTGTAGTTAAATTTGGTAGCAACATACATACATGTACAAGACACGTAACTACACTATGCATTATTTGTTTTTTCTTTAGCTCTCGTTAATTTCACTATGAAAATGACTTTTTTTTTTTCCCACACATTGCACAGTTTGGATAAACAATGGCAATGGTGAATGAAAATCAGTTCTGATCAGTTGATCTGCATCAACTTGATGTTTTTTTCCGAAAATTTTATGACTGTTACTCTGAGCCTCTTTTTTCTAGGAATCTATAAAACTCAGGAAACAGACAGCCCGGTTAAAACCCTTGACTGTAGGATTAACTTAATTGGTGTAGTTAAATTCTTTATTTTTTGAACACTGACTCTCTTACAGAAGTTAGGGAAGTTGTCTCCTTGTCTCCCTGTGGTGTTGCTATGGTCATCTCTTAAGAGTTATTCAGTGCATAAATCTTAAAACCCATAAGGTTTGGAAATTTCCCCTTGCATTCTTTTCTCTTTCATTCCCCTCTTCCCTGCACCTTCATGCCTTTAGCTTCCTTCTCTTTCCTGACACCCAGTCAATTTTCACCTCATCTGTAGTACACTGTCATATTCTGTGTGTGAAAAAACTGTTCAGAACCACATTAGAGTCCTTTAAAATATAATTCTGAAAACTGGAAACCCTGGTGTCTGCTTTCTCTGTTGTGATCTCTCCTTCGTAGCATTTCATCCCTGTTCCAATTTATGACACACATTTCCAGTCAAATAATTGTAGATATAACAACAGACTGGCTTCTATTTAGTGAATCTCAGGTTTTGGCACCAATAATGTCATGAATGCCAGTAAAATTTTCATTCATTTAGTTTTCATGTTTTCTGTGAAACCTCTCCAAAGGCTGTCTTTTCAACAAATATAAATATACTTTTTAAAATATCTGGAAATATGCATGGAAAAATTTCAGCCAACCATATAGCATATCCGTCTGTTAGACACTAGCATATATTCATGCTCTCTCATATGCTCTGAACATGTAGGAACTGAGACAGCCTTTGTAGAAATCTCAAGGAGTAGAAAATGGGATCTAACATGGTTCCATAACGTGAAATGACCGACATAGTGCAAACCAAGGCTGTAAACTTGCCATTGCAGCACAGTATTAGTCCTGTTACATTGACTGTTACTCTTGTCTGTTGAGATATATTCCACATTCCATACCTATTACTATCTTACACAAAACTTTTCCTTCTATATGTAAGATTTTGGCAATTTGAAGCATTTGCAGTGCTGCAGAGAACTGTATCTCTGGAACTGAGAAGGCAAGAGGAAAAAAAAGGAAGTTTATACTAAAGTTAAATATAGACATTTAAATTCATATTCATTAGTAAGTAGTTAATGAATAAAATATTGCTCATGGTTAGTATTTTATGGGAAATACTGAATATAATGAAGTGTGTTTGAGCATATGCATGTAAAGAATCATTAAGCTACTATTCAATGAGAAAAAAAGATGAAGTTGTGGTGAATATTATGTAGTTTAGCAGAGTAATTCTAAAAGAGAAAATTATTCACAACTGAATTTCTATTCAGGATTGGGATCTTAGTTGACCGAAATAATAGCAGTTGCGAATTGGATTTGCTTCTTGTTAAAGAGAATGTAACATACTTCATAGCATTCCTGAATAAACTTAACTTTGATATAGTTCCCTTTATGTTTTAATAATTAAATAATTATTAATGAAGTAATTAATAATTACTATAAAAGGTTAGGAATGGTTGAGGGTTTCAGTAGTAGCAGGCTGGACAACATTTCAGAAGTATTGTGAATCGAGAATCAGCAGGATGTGTTGGCAAGCTACTGAGTGAAGGAATAAATAGTATATCAAGGTTATGAACTGTAATAATGAAAAGGATGGTGGAGATGGGGAGTAGGAAATGTCAGACAGTGTAATTGTATGCTTTTATCTTGTCCAGATTCAATCTATGACTGAACATTCAATTATAGATGACAGAAAAACATCATCAGGGTGAATAGGAGAAACCAGAACCCTGAAGTCCTGAGCAATCCCTCATTCCTAATCCTATGACTGCTGATTCCTTTCATCTTGTGGCTTGTTTTCACTCTGAGCTGTGAGGACAAAATAAGGAAAAAAGTGTAGTGTTAAATTATGATTGATTAGGGCTTTTTCTTCTTGTTGAATAAAGTATCTGGCTACTTATTCCAGGGCTGTGTAGTGACTGTGGTTACAAAGTGCATCAAAGTCCATGTTTCTGGTCTTCCTGATGCATTAAAAAATATGCAGAAGATAAAAGTTTAAAGTATTTGTATTAATTATTATTTAAAATGGATATACCCTTGCATAAAACTGAACTGATAATTTTTCTGTTTCCACACAGCCGAGGCAACGAGAACAGACTAGCTCTACGAAGACAGACCATTCTCCGGGAGAAGGGGAGGAGGCAGGCCAGTCGAGGGCCAGCATATATGTTTAATGACCACTCAACAAGTCTTTCCCTTGAGGAGGAGCGCTTTTTGGATGCTGCAGAATATGGAAATATTCCAGTGGTTCGCAAAATGCTGGAAGAATGTCCCTCCCTCAATGTGAACTGTGTGGACTACATGGGACAGAACGCTTTGCAGCTGGCAGTTGCCAATGAGCACCTGGAGATCACAGAACTTCTGCTGAAGAAGGAGAACCTGTCTCGGGTGGGGGATGCCTTGCTTTTGGCTATTAGCAAAGGTTACGTTCGGATAGTGGAAGCCATCCTAAACCATCCTGCTTTTGCCGAAGGCAAGAGGCTTGCACTGAGTCCTAGCCAGTCAGAGCTCCAGCAAGATGACTTCTATGCATATGATGAAGATGGTACACGGTTTTCCCATGATGTTACACCAATCATTCTGGCTGCTCACTGCCATGAGTATGAAATTGTCCACACTCTGCTGAGAAAAGGAGCTAGGATCGATAGGCCACATGACTATTTCTGCAAGTGCAGTGAATGCAATCAGAAACAGAAACATGACTCTTTCAGCCATTCCAGATCCAGAATCAATGCCTACAAAGGTCTGGCCAGCCCTGCTTATCTGTCTTTGTCCAGTGAAGACCCTGTAATGACTGCCTTAGAGCTCAGCAATGAGCTGGCTGTGCTTGCCAACATAGAGAAAGAGTTCAAGGTGAGTAGAAGGATACTGATTCTGACAGACACAGAATTGCAAAGTTCAGTCAAAGGTTTTTCTCCCATTCCTTGAGCAGTAAGAGATCAGCATTATCTTCATAAATCAGCACAATAATTTGGAAAAAGATATAATTGTTTAATCAATGGAGTATTTAAATCTTTGGGAATGTCTTATTGCTGTGTGTTGAGTGTAATTCTTGATCCTTGTGTAGAATGTGCCAGTGAACTAATTTTCTACTTCCTATTAGGCAGGATAGTAAAGGAGGCCCTTCAAACCCATGCTGAAGCTGTCTTAGGGCAGGGGAAAGAGGAGACTAAAGTGGTACCCTTTGGTACTGTTTGGCAAGACAAGTTGCATGATTCCATTAAACACTTGCAGATTCTCATTATTTTCTCATAATTGGACTGGAAGCTTTCTCATTCCTCACAAAGTTTTGCATTTATTCACAAAAAAGGACTCTAAATAAACATCCTTCTCCTTTTTTAATGTCCCGCTTTCTTTTTTCTGGTATTTCTAGTGGCTTCTTCCTCTTTTTTACTTACTTGTGGTTCGTTATATGGGAAATCTCTAACATTAAAGACTTTTTCAGTGTTATAAAGAATTTTGTAATATTTTACAAATGCATGATTTTGAAAAAAAGTGTGATTAGTTGAGACTTGAAGCGTGAGTGTTCTTTGGTTCATTTTTTTTGTTATGTAGGTGCACAACCTACAGAAATATTTTCCACAGTTCATTTGTGTTAGGACAGTAAGAATGTAACTTTCCTTCTCTCAGTAAATGCAAAGTCAGGCTTTGTGCAAACATTGCCATTGTTAATTATGACTTAGGTTAGCTAAAATCACTTAGACTGGGTTTGCCTTATGTGATCCTGTTGAAAGCAGATGCTATTATATAGACCTCACTAGCAGGAGATGAACCCCCTCCAAAGCAGTATATAGAATAATTTTCAACATTATGTTAGGAAGAGTTTGAAGTTGGTATGATCAATATTTGATGTTCATCTTAGCAGTGACACAGTTCACAAGGCGCTGAACCTTTCTCGATTTAGCCAACGTGATCTGAGATGCTGAAGTTCTGAATGAATTACTCCTGAGTTGTGTTCATAAGGGTATCTTTATGGCACCAATCTGTTGTAAGAAGCAGAAATATTTCTTGGAGAGGGAAAGTAAGGAGAACGAATGTGCAAGATGATCTTAAAAACAGCTAAACATCGGAAATTGGAGCAGAGGAGAATTTTTATTTTATATCAATAAAAAAAAGATCGGAGGACCATTTCAGCTTAATGCAGAGGATGCATATCTGCCTCATGAAGTCCCTGACAGAAATCCTTAGGACCTCAGTGGGCTGAGATTTCATCCACTGCTTTCATATACAATTCAGAGGAGAGAATTTAAACCACACACTCATTTCTTTCTCTTTAGCAGCTGCTGATGGGAACAAAAGGAGTTGATTAACTTAAAGAGGAGTAAATTTAGAACAGAACAGAAAACCATTTTGCATACACCATAAATGCAGCCTGTTAAGTTCACAGCTATGTTGAGATAAATAACATGTCTGATTCGTAGGAACTGTATAGCTCCCTTTGCCACAGTTGGAGTGACACAAACTAAGATTATTATAAAGATAAATAAAATCATCATCTGGAATAATCAACAAGAACTGTCTTTCAAATGTATGCTGCAATACACAGTCAGAGGGATGAATTGGGAACACACTGTCCCTGGTACCACCAGGCAGGGAATGAAGTACACAGGTGAGAACAGGTGGGCTGGATCACAGAGCAAGCTTCTACAGCCTGCTCTGAAGCGCCATAAGGTCTTTCTTCAAGGACTTCTTTTTTTCTAGTTCCTCTTTTGTTTCAGTTGCTTTCTCGAAAATTAGAGATTAACTGCTAATGCAGTGTTGTATAAAGAGTTTCAACAGAGATTTTGAGGTACTATCCCTCAGCAGAAACAGGAGGCTAGATGAGAGACAGAGTAGCTCCACATTACTGGGCATTAATCATCCAGGCTCTGCTGGGAACATACATACTCTTTAGTAGAGTGGAGGTGGATAGAAACTGTGAGGAGCAGGAGCAGTAGGCAACACAGAAATTTAACTCTCCCTTAATTTAAGATTTCACCAGGAGCAGGCAACATAAGGTCTTTAGGGAATGTTTTTATAGGTACTAAAATCCTGTGGTGGTTCTGGATAAATATTAAAGACCATTCACATTTATACGTGAATTATTGAGAGTTAACATTTACAATTTTGATAAGTGATTAACATTTACAATATCTAGACAGGCTAGGGACTTGACTGCAAAATACCTGTCTTAGTTTCAGAGGAGGCAGTACAAGCATGTGCAAGTTACAGGAAATGGATGCTGTCAGCTTTACTGAGTGTGAGCTAGCTTGTGTGTGAGCTCCTGCAAGCTCATATCCCTGCTTGCAGCAATTTATCTAAAAATTGTTAACCTTGCTTTATTTCAGGAGTTTGCTACAAATACCTGGATAGTGTAGTTGCTGCATTAAAATGTGAGTTTCATAAAAATGGGTTACACGTGTTAGTGTAGTCAGAACAAGCATATTTTTAGTGCATAGGTTAGCTGGGCATGGCAAATCTTTAGCTCCACCTGGGGTTTGCCTTAGCCACTTGAAGTATTTCAAACCTTACCTAAATGGAAATTGAACTTTTGTAATACACTGTTATAACAGTCACCTATTTTTATAGTGCTGATGGGGTATTGTTGCAGGGGAACTTTCAAGTGAGTGCCTACAGCAACCAGTGTCACAGATAATTCCCAGATCTTCCTCAGAGACAATAGAAAGGGTCAGTGCTAAACTGGAGAGATGTGTCAATCACAGTATAGGAATATTTCTGTAGCAAATAGCTAATTCAGGCTTCCCAAGTAATTCTGAGATCTTCAGGATTTTCTGAACACCATTTAATTTAGTTTTGTATAATAGAATGCTTTGGATTGGAAGGGACCTAAAGGATCATATAGTTCCAACCTCCCTGCCAAGGGCAGGGAACCTGTCACTAGACCAGGTTACTCAGAGCCCTGTTCAACATGGTCTTGAAGATCTTCAGGGATGGGGAATCCTCTCTGGACAACCTACTTCACTGTCTCACCACTCTTATAGTAAAGATTTTTTTCCTAATATGTAATCTAAACCCATGTTGCTTCAGTATA